ATTGACACTGTATGAAAGGCTGATCCCGTCACTACTGTCATCCAAACAGGTCACTGGGGCCACAAACAGCCCAGACATTTGGGCGTCACCCAAATATATTGCCAGAAAATATACAGTCAGTTCACTTCACAATATATCCCGCGAAGCGCTTTCAGGCGTCTCGGGTACGTGATGAGACGCCGTATCAAATGCGAGGCTTATTATTGAATTTATTATTAAATGACGAGTTATTAACTGATATGCTACAGGACTCCACCGATTAAATCACTCCACAAAAGTAACGCAAACCATTGGGAAACTTATATTCAAAATTGTAAATAAATGAATAGGAAGAGTTTTGTTGGAATCTTTAGTCACTCTGTACCTTTGGCCAAGTAAAAGATTCAGCCCTTTCCAGGTATCAAACAGACAAATGAATATTAGCAATCCCGAAACCTCTAAATGTACCACAATAAATCATCACAGAAGCATATCCGTCTGGACCCAAACATTGAATATGACTGACGTGAATATAATAATAATAATTCTTGTATTAATGGAGTTCAGCTCCTCCAGCATGTGAGGCGAGAGCTCTAACCGCTGAGCTGCAGGACTCCGCGTGAAGTCCGAATTGCAGGCAAACTGTACAAATTGTGGATTTAGATTTAATAAACATGTGCAATTTAGTACAGCCAGAAAATGTCAGGAACGGGTTAAGACTACAGTTTCCCCAATTCAATGCTTCTTGATCCATCAACACATGCGCACAGAGAGCCAAGCGCTGGAATGACATTGAATCGCGGGTTTATTGAGGTTTCAGGATTTCACATCACCCTCAATGTGAAGGACAAATATCTTGTGGAAACTGTTCATGACAATCCCGTTGGTTTGTCAACATTTGAGGAAGAAAGAAACCAGCGAACACCTAAACATCTCAAGGTTAGCCTTTACAACAACAACAACAAAACTACACATGCAGTTTTGGAGTCCTGAAGCTCAGTGGTTAGAGCACTCGCTTTGCAAGCGAGAGACCTGAGTTCAATTCCAGGCAGAGGGCGAAACCTTGGGCAAGTTTCCTTATTCCACACAGAGCCTAATAATAATCCCTCCAAAACCAAAAACAATAATAAATTGGTCATTTTCAATCTACGACTGTTTGTGGGACATTGCTGTGCGCAATTGGCTGCCGCGTTCGCCCACAAATATACAGTCAATTCACTTTACAGTGTGTTCTGTGAAGCGCTTTGGGACGTCCTCCCGACGTGAAAAGCGTTATATCAAATGCAAGGATTATTATTATTATTATTATTATTATTAGTCTTTGACTTCGGGAAGGGACTGGATGGTTAGTGTTTCTGAACTGAGCGCGGGGTCGGAATTGGGGTGGGAGGAAGACATGGCGGGGTAGTGGAAGGAGGGTGATCGAAAGTACTGTTGAAGCGGAGGGTCTTGAGTTGCGTGTTGAAGAAGCCAATGGAGGGAGCGAGTCAGTGGGACTGCGGAATGGAGTTCCAAATGGTGGGGACAGAGTGGCTGAAGGCCCACCCACCAGGTACATCTGGAAACTTTGCGGTTTAGCTCGTACCTTTTTATTCTCTGTTGTACATATTCATTATGATGCAGATAACATGCAGATTATTAAAAAAAACATACTTTGTCCTTGATATAGCACTTTGATTTTATCAACCCCCTCCTCAAACCACCCCTCAATCTCTCTAACCTCTAATACAACTATCCCATTTCTATCCTAGTATTTCCAATCTGCCCTCCTTGTCAAACGCATTGTTGCAGGTCAACTTTGGTCATATCTCTCCCTCCACTTGCTCCTCGAGCCCCTGCAGTCTGGTTTTCGTCCTGACTGCCCACAGCACAGAGACATCGCTTGTCAAAGTCACAAACAATGTTCTCTCTATCTGTGATCAGGACTCCCTCTGCCTCCTCGTCCTCCTGGATCTCTTTACCGTGTTCGACAAGGATGACCACGTAATCTTCCTCCACCACCTCCTCCTCCTCATCCACCTCAGTGGGACAGTACTCACATGGTTTGAACCCTACTTAACAAAGAGCCCCAACTTCATCTCGGCAAATGTTTTCTCCTCCTGCCCCCGCCTGGTAACCTGTGGGTACCCCAGGTCTACATTCTTGGCCCTCTTCTTTTCCTCAACTATATGCTCCCTCTGGGCTATCTCATCCGCAGATATGGAGTAAACGTCCACATATATGCTGATGGTACACAAATCTACTTTGTCTCCTCCAGTATCGACTGCAGGTCCACGAATGTTCCATCATCTTGACTGGCAGACATCGGGGCCTGGATGAGAGCAAACTTCATGCAGCTGAATATGGACAAGATGGAAGCCATACCCTTTGACTCTCAACGTATTCACTCCTGCGGATCTGAGCTCCTCAACCTCCATGGGCTCTCCGTCAGACTCAGTGAACCTGTGCACAATCTTGGCGTCTGGTTTGACCCCCAGCTCTGTAAGATTATATTTATGATGTTTATATCAATGCAAATTGCTGTCGTTATTTGAACTGATCACCTTGGTATGGTTTAAGGAATAAATGGTCTCCAAAATCCATAGGGGGAACTTGATTTATCTGAACTACTGTTAACATAGAGATGTGTAGTATAAGCAACAGCCTGACAGTTCTGCACTTTCTGTGCGTCTATGAATCTAAGAGCCTCAGTTAGTCTAATCCTTGTTCATACTTATTTCCTCTAACACTGGTGATCATCCTGGTCGCTCTCCTCTGCACTGCGTTAAGGCTCCGTGCTGACTCCTTAGTCATTCTTTGCCTCAATCCTTCCATCTTGCGGTTTTGGCTTGTTAGACTCCAGCAGTTACCCCAACACACACTCTGGGTGTTTGCTGACCGGTTTTCATGAGCGACAGACACTCGGCTGCCAAAAAATTTCAGCTAAGAAACCGCACTGCTCCTTAAGTGCTCCGAGATGTTACACACGTTAAGGGCACTGCATTGTTGTTGCTGCTATTGGTTTTGTTGCCTCCTCTGAGACGTCTCTTTTACTGGGTGAATCTCCCTAGATTATCTAACGATAGTTTACGAATTATCCCTCCAACTCGAGAGATCAGTCTGCTCCGAATATGGTGACTCTATGGAGAAGATGGCATATTTCTGAATGGTTCTCACTTTATTTTACGTTGTAGGAAATAAGACTAAATGATGTTGCAGTCTACAATCTAACGGACTGAATGCCGCCATTTTCTTTCTCTTTCCCGACAAGTGGAAATTATTTTTGATAAATTGGTGCTCATGTTGTTTACTTTCAAGGACTATCTTCCTGGTCCCAAGTCCAGAGCCCAACCCACAGCTACATTATCTGAAACTGGCCATAAAAGGCAACAGTTCATATTGGCCTTGATAAAGTTTCACTGACTGTTACACAAATGAGGTTCAAAGATCAGGATCAGGAGATTAGATAGAGAGCGCACTGGAGGCTCTAAATTGGGCGGGTTGTTAAAATGAATCAAAGGTAAGTTTAAAGTGGGAAGTGACAAATTCACACTGGTGTTGGTCTGATGATGGATGGGAAAACAGATTCCCACCTACTCTTGCTCTGTAGTAGATTGACAGTTTCTGGAGACGAGCTTTATTGGTGACACTCTATAAAATGGATAATGACCAGAACTCGTCACTCATCTTCTTGTTGTATTAACATAGACAACAACAAATGCTTTATATAGTGCAACTCATGCAGCGTATAATCACAGAACACTTGACAGAATGTGTAACAGAAGTGAAACAAGATGAATTGAGAAAGATTGAGAGGTTAGACGAGAGCGCGGGAGTGCGCCTTAGATATGAGAGGCAGTCCGATTTACAGAAATGGGGGAGAGTGTGTTGGAGAGAGGATGGGCATGAGAGAAAGAAACAGATTCAGGGAGAGAGAGATTGAGAAAGCAGTGAGTGACTGAGTGAGTGAGATTGTGAGACGTTGTGTGTGTGAGAGGGGTGAAGAGGGGCAGTGAGGGAGAACGATTGTGAGAGAATGAGAGAAGAGTGTGTGTGGGTAAGTGTGTGAGTAAAAAATGAGAGAGACAGTGGAGGGAGAGGGGTGGATGGACATGGAGCAAAGAGAGAGATAGAGTGAGTGTGGTGTGAGAGAATGAAACAGAAGTTTAGAGAGTGGAAGAAAGCAAAGAGGTGAGAGAGAGGCAATGAGTAAGTGTTTGACAGAGGGGGAGACAGATTGATTGTTACAGAGACTGATAGAATAGAAATAGAGTGTTAGAGTGTGAGTGAGAAAAGAGGGCGAGAGTGATTGACAGAAATGGTGGATGGAGTGAAAGAGAAAGACGGGTGTGAGTGGAGGTGGTGGTGTCGGATGAGGCGAGAGTAAGAAACAGAGACAGAGAGGGAGAAAGGAGAGACAAAGAGTGAAAGAGAATGATTGAGCGTGTGGGAGAAGAAAGTGTTTGCGAAGGAGGAGAGTGAAGAAGGGGAGTGAGTGATAGAGAAAGGGAGATAGAGAGAGTGTGAGAGGGGAAAGAGAGTGTGAGAGCGGTGATGTTGTTTGTGAGAAAGGGTGTGTGAGAAGGTAACCTAGAGAGGGAGGGAATGTGTGAGAGAAACAAAGGGAGAGAGGGCAGAGACTGATTGAGAGAGTGATACAGAGAGAGTGTGAGTTGAAAGAGTGAAAATGAGCCAGAAAATCCACAACATTTAACACAATATTAAAAACATTGGCGTCTCCAATAAGTTTATTTCTTCCTTTCCCGTTTAGTTTTTCGAAAATCCCTGAAGCCAAACTTTTGTACCACAACCACAAACAAAGAACCATAGTGACGTACAGCACAGACAAAGATTATTCAGCTTATGGGGGATGTGGTGGCACTTTTTATAACTATCCTTTCAGTCTCATTTCACTGCTCTGTTCCCAAATCCATTTTTAGATAGTTCACTCCATTTAGATCGATATCTAGACATGTTTTGAAAACCAATATGGATTCTGCCTCAAACACCATTCCCGCCAGGGCTTTCCATAACCCAACAACCAAATGTGTAGGACAACATATTCTCCAAACCTCCTCATTTACTAGTTTGCTATCTCTCTATCTTAAATTGATGCTTTAAGAACTGAACCTCGACCAGTGGAACTTTTATAGCAGGTAAAGATTGAGTTTCTGTGGAAATCTCCTAGGGAACAGGGCGAGGCTATGATTTACTGCCAGACATTAGCTGCTGGACTCTGACCAGGTGTGTTATTACCTGTACAGCTCAGAACACTGAAGCCACATCACTGAGAGGCTCGGGAACCAGAGGCAGGAACCGCAGCTCAGTCAGTGGGGAGACAAGACGGTGAGTCTCTCATTAGCTCTGATTGTGGCTGAAACAAAACAGTAAAGTTACACTAGGTTTTAAGCACTTGGAATGAGAGGATAGAAGAAATAGAGTGCGCGTGAGAATTGAGAGGGAGAGGTTGGAGGGAAGAATGGTTGACAGAAATAGGGGAGAGAATGAGAGAGAGAGAGTGTAGATGAGTGAAAGAAACAGAGACAGGGGGGGGGAGAAAAATCAGAGTGTGAGTGAGTGATCGATAGTGTGAGAAGGAGAGTGTGTGTGTGTTAGAGGGGGAGACAGAGTGCGGTAGAGAGACGATGGGGTGAGAGAAAGAAACAGAGACCGGGAGGGAAAGAGGGAATAAGCAAAGCGGTGAGAGATTGGCAGTGAGTGACTGTACGACAGAGGCGAAGAGATAGCTATTGAGTGAGAGAGTGTGTGTGAGAATGTGAGTGAAATGTGAGGGGCAAAGTGATTGACAGAAAGGAGGTCATAGGGAGAGAGTTGGTGAGAAAGAAACAGAGATATGGAGACAGAGAGTGAAAGAAAGTGAATAGGATTGTGGGAGGAGAGAGTGTTTGTGAAACAGAAGGAGGAAAGGAGGAGGGAGTTATCGAGAGAGCGTAGACGGAGTGACTGTGAGAGGGGAAAGGGAGTGTGAGTGGAGGGAGGGCTGGTGTGGGAGAATAGTGTGATAGAGAGAGAGGAACTGAGAGAACGAAAGAGTGTCGGTAATACAGAGTGAGAGGGGGAGCCAATGACTGAGAGAGGACAGAGAGAGTTTGTGTGAGAAGAAAAAGAGAAAATGAGAGAAAAATTTCACAACATTTAACACAATAAACAAACGGGCGTCTCCAATATGTTTTGTTCCTTCCTTTACTGATCAGTGTTTTTTTAAAAAATCCTGGAATCCAACCTTTTGTGCCGCACCCACGAACAAAGAAACATCGAGATGTACAGCACAGAAGAAGGATGGCTGTGGTGGCTGTTTTTATGCCAATCCTTTCAGTCCCATTTACATTGCTCTTTTCCCAAATCCCTTTTTAGATAGTTGACTCCATTTAGATCGGTATCTAGTGATGATCTGAAAACCAATCTGGAATCTGCCTCAAACATCATTCCCACCAGTGCTTTCCATAACCCAACAACCAACTGTGCAGGAAAACAAATTCTCCAAACGTCCCAATTTGCCAGTTTGCTAACTCTCTGAAATTGATGCTTTAGGGATTGAACTCTGACCAGAAGGACTTTTATATCAGGTAAACTTGAGTTTCTGTGGAAATCTCCAAGGGAACAGGGCTTGGCTATGATTTACTGCCAGACATTAGCTGTTGGACTCTGACCAGGGTGTGTTATTACCTGTACAGCCCAGAACACTGAAGCCACTTCACTGAGAGGCTCGGAAACCAAAGGCAGGAACCGCAGTTCAGTCAGCGGGGAGACAAGACGGTGAGTCTCTTATTAGATCTGATTGTCGCTGAAATAAAGTCGTACTGTTATACAAGGTTGTAAGGGCACAGAGAGAACAACCCATATAAATGCAAGTTGTTGTTGTTCGTGCAACATTTATTATAATTAAAGAAACCAGGAGTAACTGAATGAGCAACAATTAATATATCATTTGGTCCATTAAAAAGAAGATCTCTCTCTTCGACTGTGCTTACGGTCACCTCTTTCTTCCCTCATACTCAGTGTCCTCCACCACTCCAAAATCCTCCGATACACTGTCCGGCGTGAAGGCTACTATATAAATGCAAGTTGTTGCTGTTATTTGAATTAATCATCGTAGAACCGTTTAAGAAATCAATGGTGTCCGAAATCCATTGGGGAACTTGATTGATCTGAACTATTGTTAACATACTAATGTGGAATTTAAGCAACAGCCAGGCGGTCGGGCCGAATCTGAGCTGTAATTTCTATGCATCTATGAATCCAAGAGCCTCAGCTTGTTTCATCCTTGTTCATAGTTCATTCCTCTATATGACTGTAAGGCAGAGACGAAGAGACAGCCTCTGGCTTACAGTCACTTAACCCTGGTGTTACTCTAACCCTGGTGATCATCCTGGTTGTTCTCTTCTGCACTACCTTAAGGAACTGTGCTGACGCTTTTGTCAGCCATTGCTTCAATCCTTCCACCTTGCGGTTTTGGTTGGTTGGACTCCAGCAGTTATGCCAACACACATTCTGGTCTCCCAAGCCTTGACTCTTGCCAACCTGCTCCTAATACTCTCGAATTAAGTGAGCAGAGTGGTCCGTCCAGACGGAGGGTGCTCATTCCATTCCAACCACCTAACTCTGGAGTTTCCATATGTAGTTTGGGATGTATGAAAATCTCAGCTTTGTTTTGGATCATGTTCGGTTTGTTGATCGGTTTTCGGTGGGACAGACACTCGGCTGACAAAAAAATTCAGCTCAGATACCACACTGCTGCTGATATGCTCCAAGCTGCAACCCACGAGAAGGGCACTATACAGTTGTTGTTGCTATTGTTTTTATTTCCTCCTCTGAGACGTCTCTTTTGTTGGGCGCAGCTTGTCCAACGATAGTTTAAGACACATCCCTCCAATTCGAGAGACCAGTCTGCTCTGAATATGGAGACGCTATAGAGGCTGAATGGTTCTCAGTTGCTTTACTCTGGAGGAAATAAGACTAAATTATGTTTCAGTCTACAATCAAACGGACTGAATGCCGCCATTTTCTTTCTCTTTCTCCGCAAGTGGAAACGATTTTTGACAAAATGGTGCTCAAGTTGTTGACTTTCAAGGACTATCTTCCTGGTCCCAAGTCCGGAGCCCAACCCACAGTTACATTAACTGAAATTATCCATAAAAGGCAACACTGCACATTGGCAGTGATAACGTTTCGCTGACTGTTACACAAATGGGGTTCAAAGATCAGGATCAGGAGATTAGGTAGAGAGCGCAGAGGATGCTCTGAATTGGGCGGGTTGTTAAAATGAATCAAAATGTAAATTTGAAGTGGGAGGTGGCAAAGACACGCTGGTGTTAGTCTGATGATGGATGTGAAAACAGATTCCCAACTATTGCTCTGTATCAGCGAGAGTGGAAGAGAGAGGATGGGGTGAGAGAAAGAAACAGAGCCAGGGAGGGAAAGAGAGGGAAAAAGCAAAGCGATGAGAGAGTGGCAGTGAGTGACTCTATGGCAGAGACGAAGAGAGACCTATTGAGTGAGAGAGTGTGTGTGAGGTGGAAGTGATTGACATAAAGGTGTGAGAGTGAGAGAGATGGTGAGAGAAAGAAACAGAGACATGGAGACAGAAGGAAAAAGTGGAGACAGAGAGTGAAAGAAATTGACTAAGATTGTGGGAGGAGAGAGTGTTTGTGAAAGAGAGCAGGTAGAAAAGGAGGAGTGAGTTATCGAGAGAGCGTAGACAGAGAGACTGTGAGACGGGGAAGGGAGTGTGCGTGGAGGGATTGCGTGCGTGGGAGAAGAGGGGATAGAGAGAGAGAGAGTGAAAGAGAGAGAGAGGAATTGAGAGAGTGAAAGAGTGTCTATGAGACGGAGCGAGAGGGTCGAGCCAATGATTGAGAGAGGACAGAGAGAGTGTGTGAGAGGAAACTGAGAAAATTAGAGAAATTTCACAACATTTATCACAATAAAAAACGGGCGTATCCAATATATTTTTTTCCTTCCTTTACTGAATAGTTTTTTTTAAGAAAATCCCTGAATCCAACCTTTTGAGCAACACCCACGAACAAAGAAACATCGAGATGTACAGCACAGAAGAAGGATGGCTGTGGTAGCTTTTTTTTGCCAATTCTTTCAGTCCGATTTACATTGCTCTTTTCCCAAATCGCGTTTTAGATAGTTCTCCCAATTTAGATCGGTATCTATTGATGATTTGAAAACCAATCTGGAAACTGACTCAAACATCATTCCCACCAGGGCTTTCCATAGCCGAACAACCAACTGTGCAGGAAAACAAATTCTCCAAACGCCCCCATTTGCCAGTTTGCTAACTCTCTGAAATTGATGCTTTATGGATTGAACTCTGACCAGAAGGAATTTTATATCAGGTAAACATTGGGTTTTACTGTGGAAATCTCCAAGGGAACAGGGCGAGGTTACGATTTACTGCCAGACATTAGCTGTTGGACTCTGACCAGGGTTTGTTGTTACTGTACAGCCCAGAACACTGAATCCACATCCCTTAGAGGCTCGGAAACCAGAGGCAGGAACCGGAGCTCAGTCAACGTGGAGAGAAGACGGTGAGTCTCTCACTTGCTCTGATTGTGACTGAAATAAGGCAGTAAAGTTACTTCAGGTTTTTAGCACTTGGAATGATAGGAGGAGAGATAAATTGCGCGAGAAATGAATGGGAGACAGAGGGTTGGAGGGTACAGTGGTTGTCAAAAATGGGGGAGAGAGTGATAGAAAGGGCGTGGGTGAGTGAATGAAACAGAGACCGGGAGAAAGCAAGAGAGAGAGAGACAGCAGACTGTGAGTGAATGATTGAGAGTGTGGGAAAGAGTGTGTGTATGTTAAGAGAGGCGTAGAGAGCGAATGGTGGAGAGTGAATGGGTTGAGAGAAAGAAGCAGAGAGAGTGGGAGTTAGCAGAGCAGTGAGAGAGTGGCAGCGAGTGACTTTATGGCAGAGGGTGAGAGCAATTTTTTAAGAGTGAGAGTGTGGGTAAGAATGTGAGTGGGAAAGTCATTGACGGAAAGGGGTGAGAGAGTGAGAGAGAGTTGAAGTGGTGAGAGAAAGAAAGAGAGACAGGGAGAAAGCAGAGACACAGAGTGAAAGAAAGTGACTGACATTGTGGGAGGAGAGAGTGTGAATGAAAGGGGCGAGTGAGTGATCGAGAGAGTGGAGATAGAGAGACTGTGAGAGGGGAAAGAGAGTGTGAGTGGAGGGATAGGCGTGTGTGAGAGAAGGGGGGATAGAGAGGGAGAGAGAGGAATTGAGAGAGCGAAAGAGTGTCTGTGAGACAGAGCGAGAAGGGGGAGCAAATGACTGAGAGAGGACAAAGAGAAAGTGTGAAAGAGGGAAAGTGAGAAAGAAGGAAAAGAGGAAATCAGAGAGAAAATCCACAATATTTAACACAACGTAAAAAACGATTGTCCCCAATATATTTTTTTCGGACCGTTCCCGATTAGTTTTTCGAAAAATCCCAGAAGCCAACATTTTGTACCACCCCCACAAACAAACAACCATAGAGATGTACAGCACAGAAGAAGGTTATTCGGTTTATGGTCACATTGGTAGCACTTTTTATAACAATCCTTTCCGTCCCATTTTCCTGCTCTGTTCGCAAATCCCTCTTTAGTTAGGTTACTCCTTTCAGATCGATATCGAGACATGTTTTGAAAGCAAATATGGATTCTGCCTCAAAGAACCCTCCCGTCAGGGCTTTCTATAACCAAACAACCAGCTGTGCAGGAAAAAAAAATCACCAAACCTCCCTATATGCTCGTTTGTTAACGATCTTAAATTGGTGCTTTGGGGACTTAATCTCAAACAGTGGAACTTTTATAGCTGATAAGCATTTATTTTCTGTGGAAATCTCCTGGGGAACAGGGCGAGGCTGTGATTTACTGCCAGACATTAGCTGCTGGACTCTGACCAGGTGTGTTATTACCTGTATAGCCCAGAACACTGAAGCACATCACTGAGAGGCTCGGGAACCAGAGGCAGGAACCGGAGCTCAGTCAGCGGTGAGACAAGACGGTGAGTCTCTCATTTGCACTGATTATGGCTGAAATAAAGCAGGAAAGTTATTGCAGGTTTTAAACGCAGGGAGATGTCACTCCATGTGAACAGCGCAAGATAAATGCAACTTGCTGTTTTGTAGTTAGTGAAAGTTTACTGATATTAAAGAAACCCGGAGCCAGTGATCGTGGAATCATTTAAATTTAATTTGCTTAATTAGTTTAACTAACCATCGTGACATCGTTTAAGGGACAAATATTCTTTTACATCTACTCATAAATTTGATTGACCTGCAATATTGTTGATCAACTTTGGGCCCTCGTGTGGAATATTAGCACCATCCAGACTGGACGGGCTGAATAATATTAATAGTAATAATAATAATAATCCTTGCGCACAGCAATGTCCCACAAACAGTCGTAGATTGAAAATGACCAATTTAATTATTGTTTTGGGTTTTGGAGTGATTGTTATTAGGCTCTGTGTGGAGTAAGGAAACTTACCCAAGGTTTCGCCCTCTGCCTGAAATTGAACTCAGGTCTCTCACTTGCAAAGCGAGTGCTCTAACCACTGAGCGACAGGACTCAACTATGGCTTTTTGCTGACCTTGTTTAATCCTGGCTGGTAAACGGTTCTTCTAAATCTAGCCATGATCCTGCTTGTTTTCCTCTGCACTGCCTGAAGGAGCTGGGCAGACGCTTTTGTCAGCCATTACCTCAATCGTTCCATCTTGCTCTTTGTGGAGTTAGACTCCAGCTATTAACCCAAAACACATTCTGGACTCTCACAAGCCTTGGCTCTTGCCAATCTGTGCCGAGCACTTTCCAGCAGTAGTTAAGAAGGATAGACACTCCATAGAGAGGTTGGTCATTCCATCTACAATCGATCGCTGTAGTATCCACGTATAGGTGGGGTGCATGGACATCTCAGCTTTATTTGGATACTGTTTGGTTTGGTGATGGGTGGTGTTAGACCCTCAGCTGACAAAAGTAAGACTCAGTACAGCAACTACACTACAGTTTAAGTGCTCTAAGATGCCAAACACGTGAAGGAGCCTATACTGTTGTTCTTGATATTGTTTTGTTGACTTCTCTGAGATGTCCCTTGTTATGGATGAAGATCCACAGAATATCTCATTTTGTTTAAAATTCATCCCTGTAACTCAGAGTTTCAGTCTATTGTGGATCTGGAGATGGTGAAGAGAAGCTGGACCTTTCTGAATATTGCTCACTAGCTTTCACTATGTGGGAAATCAGACTTAATGCTCAATCGTAATCTTCCCGACTGAATTGCCTCCATTTTCTTTGTCATTCCCCACAACTAGATATGATTTTGTTAAGATGATTCTCATGTTATTGACTTTTAAAGAGTTGATTGTAGCTCGCCTGATCTTATTGGTCCCAAGTCTAGAGTCCAACACCCAGTTATATGACCTGAAAATATCCATAAAAGGCAACATTGCCTGTTTACATTGATAACGTTTTACTGACTGTTACATAAATGAGGGTTCAATGAGCTCGAACAGGAGATTGAAGCACTGAACACAGTGGAATTAGGTAGTTAACTCAAATACATGAAAGGGAAGGTTGAAGTTGCAGATGGTACTCGCACATTGGTGTTAGTCTGATGATGGGTAGGAAGCCGAGTGATTGGGGAATAGAAATAGATACAACACCAATTTGCATTTATATAGCACACTTCTCGCAAGGTCAGTATCCCATAGCGCTTAATACATGACGGGCTATAACAGATATATATTGTAAGAGGAACTGTGTAGGCTGGAGTGAATTTTTTTATTGCTCACATGAAGAGATTAATAAAGAAATGCAGCACTACCTGCACGTGACAGCCTGGCTCAGTGCTCGCACTCTCTTACCTGTGTCAGAAGGGTGGGTTGACCCACAAGTCTGGACTTGAAATAACACGGTCTAAGATGAGAATCCAATGCAGTACTTGGGGTGTTTTGCATTATCAGAGGTGTAATGTAAAATGACTCCGGAGTAGAGTTCCAGACCTGGGAAAGAGGAGATGAAAGCTTGGCCACTGATGTTCGGGAGCATCGGGCATGGGACCAAAAGTACACATGAGCCAGAATGGAGAGAGCAGCTGGGGCAGTGGGTTTGTAAAATGTCACAGAGATAGAATGGGCGAGTCATCCAGAGATGTAAACAAGGGGACACGGATCTGAATTGAATCTGTAAGAGAAGCTTTCTAAACAGTGCTCAAAAGGCAAGCCACACATTTTGAGCTGGGTAAACTCCATCAATGTCCCCTATCCATAACCATACCCAATGAGGTCCCCACGCTTCCACTCTTGCCAATTTGTGCCTAATACTTTCAGGGATAAGGTTAAAAGTAGATATGCCTCTGGGCCATTCCATTCTAAGCACAGCGTGTTTGATGTGTTGGTGGGCATTCTCAGTCTGGTTTGGATATCCTTAATCACCGTGATATCTTTGTACATGTGCCAGACACCCGACAACCAAATTACATACTACAGGATTGAGTGAAGCGAGAGGATGATTGTAATACGATAATAAATCTCATCTGATGAGTTTTTGTGGATGAAGGAGAAGAAGCTGTTAGATTACACAAAATGCAGAGTGGGGGGGGGGGGGGGTGGGGGCGGGGGTGTTGCATGCACAAGTACAAGTGACGAGGAATTGAGGCGGACTCAAAAGCAGAGAGAGAATGTGTGAAATGGATTTAAAGAGAGAAAGAGAGAGAGGACCAGAGTTAGGGGCATGGGAACTGTAGGCAATGGTAGTGTGGAGTGGGATATCCAGGTTCAACATGTGACAACCTGGCTGGTGAAGTATGTGTGTGTGTGTCAGTGTTGGTGTCATGGGGCTGAGTGGAAGAGTGTGTGTGTGTTGGCGTTGGTGGTATGGGGCTGAGCTGGTGAAGTGTTTGTGTGTGTCAGTGTTGTGACTTGGGGGTTAGTTGTTGAAGTATATGTGTGTCATTGTTGATAACATGGAGCTGAGTTGGTTATCTTTGTGTGTCAGCGTTGGTGACGATACCATGGGGCTGAGCTGATGGAGTTTGTGTATGTCATTGTTGGTGACATGGAGCTGAGCTGGTGATGTGTGTGTCAGTGTTGGTGATGGCACCGAGGGGCTGAGCTGGTGAAGTGTGTTGGTGTCATTGTTGGTGAGGCCAACGTGGGATGAGCTGGTGAAGTGTGTGTGGGTCAGTGTTGTTGAGGACACTGTGGGGCTTTGCTGGTGAAGTTTGTGTCAGTTTCTGTGCCATGCGGTTTTGTTGGTGAAGTGTGTGTTAGTGTCTGTGGCATGGGGCTGAGTTGGGGAATTGGGTATGTCAGAGTTGGTTACGTGGTGCTGAGCTAGAGATGTCTGCGTGTGTCAGTGTTGGTGGCAAGATGCTGGGCTGTAGATGTGAATGTGTATCAGTGTTGATTAGTGCAGTCCTGTAGCTCAGCGGTTAGAGCACTGGCTTTACAAGTGAGAGACGTGAGTTCAATTGCAGGCAGAGGGCGAAACCTTGGGCACGTTTCCTTACTCCACACAGAGCCTAATAATAATCCCTCCAAAACCAAAAACAATAATAAATTGGTCATTTTCAATCTACGACTGTTTTTGGAACATTGCTGTGCGCAATTGTCTGCGGCGTTTGCCCACAAATATGCAGTCAATTCACTTTACAGTGTGTTCTGTGAAGCGCTTTGGGACGTCCTCCCGATGTGAAAAGTGCTATATGAAATGCAAGGATTATTATTATTATTATTGATGACATGGTGCTCAGTAGAGGAAGAATGTGTTGCTTTCATGGGGCTGATTTGGGGATGTGTGTGCGTCAGTCTTAGTGAGGATACCATGGTGATGATCTGGAGATGTATGTTTTTGTCACTGTGGGTGGCATGGAGCTGGACTGGATAAGCGTGAATGCCAATATAAACTCGGGAAAGAATGTTAAAACAAGGCCAGTCACACTGATGTCATTGGGAGAGAAACGTCTGTAGATTATAATCCGGGATGATATAAAATTTCACTTAGTAAAGTATGGGTTAATAAAGGACAGTCGATTTATTAAAGACAAATCAGTCCTGAAGAACCTGCTAGAGTCTTTTGATGAAGGATTGGAGAGTATGGATGAACGTTGTGCAGTTGATGTAGTTTATATGGTTTCTCAAAAGTGTTTGATAAAGTGCCACATAAGAAACTTGTAAGCAAACTGGAACCCCACGGTATCAAATTCACAGTAGTAGCATTGAAACAGAACTGACTGGGAGACAGATAGCTGAGAGAGATGAGTTCACCGGTGTCCCCCATGAGTCGCTATTTGAACCACTGCTGTTTCTGATCTACACAAATAACCTGGACTTTGGTGTAGGAGTACACTTTCCAAATTTCCAGTTGAGACTTAGCTCGGAAAGGTAGCAAACAGTGAGGAGGATCGTAGCATAATGTAAGGGGACACAGACAAACTGGTCAAATGGGCAGACACGTGACGTATACAACTTACTGTGGAGAAATGTGAAGTAATACATTTTGAGAGGAAGAATAAGGAGGGGCAATATAAAATAGATGGTAGAATCTTAAAGGGGGTGAAGGAAAAAAGAAATTGGGGGTTCATATAAGTAAATCTTTGAAGGCGGCAGGACAGGTATATACCGCTGTTAAGAAAGCATACAGAATACGAGGCTTTATAAATAGGGGCATAGTATACAAAAGTCAAGAAGTTATGATGAACATTTATCAAACAATGATTAGGCCTCAGCTAGAGATTGTGATGAGTGATGAGCACCACATTTTAGGAAGGATGTCAATGGATTGGAGAGGGTGCAAAGGAGATTTACAGCAGAAGACCAGGAATGAGGGACTTCAGTTATCAGGAGAGGCTACAGAAGCTAGGATTATTCTCCTTGGAACAGAGAAGGTTTAGTGGAGACTTAATAGAAGTTTTCAAAATGATGAAGTGATTCGACAGCGGGAACCAGGAGAAAGAATTTCCACTGGTGGGTGGGTCGGTAACCTGAGGACACCGATTAAAATAGTTGTTAAAAGAAGCAGCCGGGAGCGAAGGATAATTTTTTTCGGATCTGGAATACATTGCCAGAAAAGGTGGTGGAAGCCGATTCTAGAGAAGAAGTAGAGAGAAGTAGATAATTATTTGGGGAAGGCAAATTTGCATGGCTATGGGGAGAGAGCGGGGGAATGGTTTTGGTTTGGGCAGCTCTTTTCAAAGAGCCGGCACAGACAAAATAGGCTGAATGGCCTCCTTCTCTACTCTAT